TTTGCATGGCATGTTCATGGTATTGGTTCAGGCCACAAATACTGGTCAGTTGCTGAGATGCATGTACAGTCATGTGATTAGTTCAACTGAGTAAGGCAATCAGAGACAAAAAAGGGCTTCTGTGGTAGGGTACTGCATCATAAGCGTGGAATGTTTTAGTTCAAATCCCTTATTCCTTCCTTATGACAGGTAATCAAGTTAAGTTACTGTTGCAGTTTTATCAAACACTTACCTTAACTAAAGGCTCTCTTGGAGGTCCCTTCACATCAACCGGATTGAAGTCAGTAATACCAAATGTTTTCCTGAAGTAATTTTTTGTGAACTCATCACAATCATGGAGCAGGAACCTTCTTCCCAAAATAAATAGAGTTTCACCAACCACAAAGTCCCTGGGTGTGAACCAGTCTTTGATTTCATGATCAGATAACTCCAAAACACAAGAAGGAAAAGAAGCTGAAAGAGATGGAGTAACCTAAGTTAACCTACATGTATAGCTTCACGAATATTTAATTATTTCCACTGTCTTGTATTTACATACACTGTAGGGGTTTATGAGGCAAAGGTAAGTGTGCTTGTTGCATTGCTCCTTGCTTGCAGTACTCAAGATTGTTAATTTCCTAAGAAATCTTTTCAAAGTGAACAAAAAGTACTTACATTCAACTTTTGTTCTGTCTTTTGGTAGTCTCTGCCTGCAAACCAGCACAGGGAAAGGATCCCGTCCATCGTTCCCCGTATGAACTTCCCTTATCTCCACTGTGTCATCTACTAGATAGTAATGGATGATCTGCAATAAGCAATTCAAAAATTGTTGAGAAGACAAGAACAAAATCACAAGTTAATTATTACACAGAGAGAGACCTGACATCTTTTCATGAGAGAACTGTCTGGAATATATTCATATTTCAAATAAGCGATCTTTCCAATATAGATCCTTCAAGAAAACTATCACGTACTCAGTAACAATGTATTTTAAGAGTAGATCTGTTGAGCTTATTCTCTATAAACTTCAAAAACACTTAAATTACAAGTTACGAATTAAGATAAAGACTACAGTTACTAAATTTCACTTACACATGGCCTCATTTCCCCAAACATACTGTCCCTGTCGTCCCAGACACAATAAAACCTCAGGACCTTTCTATCCAGTTCCAGGAACTGTTTTAGTTTGTCAAATGACGAAGGTGTCTTATAGCTTCGAAGAGGCTGTTTGCGGGATTCAGTGTAAGGATCTGTTTCTGGTAATGCAGGCTGGTTAAGTTCTATTCCCTCACTGGCCATGTATTCCTAAAGACAAAAAGACTACATTATGAGTGTTCTTCAGGCAGAATCTAACTTGTGAATACATCTATTACAGTTGTTACTTGAGTTGAGTATGGATGTGCTTATGATATATCTCACAATTTAAACCAAGCGTAATGTCATTGATCAGTTTTTTGGGCTGTATTTTACAGTACGACCCACTTCCTATGTACTTGACACGACAGTCTTTCCTTTCTCCAGAGTGACTGACACGAAATAAACATAGAAACTCAAAAAGTCTTGGTCCACTGCAATAAGATACAAATCCTTATTTTTCCTCACTGGTTATTGTGGGAAAACTGAAAATGGCCAGCTCCCTCTACGAGACACACCTGCACCTAATTGTGCTCATCATCTTGGATTGAATATTTTATTTTGATGAATTCAACTACCATGACTCCCTTCAGGCACATCTCATAGAGGGAACTGGCCAGTGTTGCAGTTATTGTTGGTCAGTAAATCGGTGCAAAAGACTCATGAGATATATACACATTATTTGTTTGTACCTTTGTCCAAGCATCACAGTCATAAAGATGAAACACTTTTCCATAAAATGTAACATTGATTCCAAGGTTAAGGTCTTTCCAATGCCAGTATTCGCCAAGATCATTCTTGGGTAGACGCTGTCGCTTTATGAGTTTCCCTTGAGGAATTCCACTGGAAGGAAAATAGAGTTCTGAATAAGATATAAGGCAATACTCCTACAGTACTTGAGATAACATTATCACTTATAGGGTATATATGTACATGTAAGAGCAGAAGAATTATACAATGTATAATAGGTAACCAAATAAGTTATATTTAATTAATCAACCAATCAATCAATCAATCAATCAATCAATCAATCAATCAATCACAAGGTAAAATTTAAAGCTTTAGCAGCTTGTGGGGCCCTGTATCACAAGAAATTTTAAGGACTGGTTACTCCAGACATGGCAGTACAAATTAAATTCTATGTAACATTCAAGTCTCGATAACTACCTGTTGTTGACAACTGGTTCAACCACTGCGATAGAATCATCTTCCAAATAGTAATAAACTTTGACTGGACGAACTCTGTAATATTCGTTTGATGATTCATGCACAGTTTGCTTGAAATACGCGAAGAAAAGTAAAACCTTCTTGTCAAAAGCAACATGAGCAGGAACAAAATCTTCTGGAGGTGCCTGAACCTTTTGTCCGTATGTCAAGGATGGCTTGAGATTTGCTAGCTCATCTAGTTCTTCCTGTGTTAGTTTATTAACAGGTATCGGGTCTCCACCGATACCTATAATGGGGGCTGTCGGCACAGAATAGCCATTCATCCATCCAAGTGTCTGAGGTCGATGAAATTTAGCTTTCTGAAAGGAAATTAGGCTAACTGTTGTAGAAATTTCTTACGTGAATTTGAGCTTATCATGAGCATAAACACCGCGCTGAAACTACAAGATTACTTACCGTTGGATCGGTAAAAGAATTTCCAGGGAGGAATGGAAGAGCCATTTTCTTATTTTAAAGTTCTACTTCGCTTAAAAAGAATAATTCGCACGGGTTGTCTTGTTGAGTTCTTTTCGCTGAAGTTCAAAATGTTTCACTGACTATCATGGCCGCTGTGGTTGCTATTTGGCAGCACTTGTTGTCATGGTTTCTGTTTAGGGACAGTCGCACTCCCGCTAAATCTCACGGGATAGCAGACTCCCTAAAAGAGTTATGGGATAGCAAAAAGTTATCAAATAAAACAACAGAGAGAAGACGGGGGATAAGTTTCTACTACCATTTACTCCATTGCTCAAGAATCTTCATTGGCTTCTGCTAGAACAAAGAATCATCTTCAAAATTGCACTCATTACCAAAGGTATTCGTGGCGAAGCTCAGTTCTCAGTATATCGTAGATCTGCCCAAGCCCTACAACCCAGCCAGAACACTTAGATCGTCCACTCAGAATCTCCTTTGCAAGCCAAGTTTCAATTTAAAAGGTTACGGGGGCTGTTCATTTGCGGTGTCGGCTCCAACTGTGTGGAACATACTTCCAAAAGATATTATAGACTCGTCTTCTACGAACATTTCTAAAAGTAAACTGAGAACGTGGCTTTTTAAACAAGTATTTCTAAGTTGAAGTTTTTAATTATATATCTTTTTAAGTTTTTATCTGTTTTTGACATTTTCGTAATTTTTTATAGTAGGTATTTGTTTATAGATTTAATTTCTTGTAAAGCGTCATTGAACCATTGGGAAATGGCGTTATGAAAATTTTCATATTATTATTAATAAACTGAAAAGAATAGATAGTTAACCTTTGTCTTGGTATCATCTCTTGCATGAACATGTTCTGCAAAACACGGTAGCACTAAAACTCGTAACTAGGTCTTTTGGCGCTGTGCAGAAAATTCTTCTGATTTACACTCAATTTGACAAATTACAGTATCTGTAAACCAGAAAATTTGCACTTTGTATCCATTAAAAAATTCACTTTTACTTTTTCCGAATTACACAAAGAAATTCATTTTATTGTTCAGTTTAACCTGTGTTTCCATTTTAGCTTAACATTCCAGTTCAATTTATTTTATGCTTTCATACACCATGAACTTTCAAATGACATTTCAAATTCAAATTCAATTTTATTGGATGAGATCGGGCACGCGTGCATATTTGAAACGAGGACTCGATCTTCGCTTCTCGACGCCAGTGCATAATAAACAGCTTTACACTTAAACTATTCCCTCTTGGCAATAAACCCGAATAAAATTCTTTTCAGGTGCGAGCTTTCTAACAAGCTTCTCTTTGCTCATAGTATATACTGTATATTCAAAGCACACAATCGCACGTGTAATGCATTCCTTTTGTGCAAAGCATATTTCTAATAGCTGGAATGAATTTTAATGTTGGTGTATAAAGAGGTGTAAAATGACACCCAGTTAAACGCCGGTCGCCGTTGCATTGCAGGAGTAAGAATGAGGACATCTTCGTCGATGTGCTTTCTTCAGGCAAGTTTCTGTTTCCTCTTTCTCTCTTGAGGGAATTCCTTTCGAGCTAGTTGTTAACTTTTCCTTTACTTTCCCTAGCTTTTAGATATCACGGAT